GGATTATTAAACTAAATATATACATATATATATATATATATATATATATATATATATAAAATCAATTAAATATTTTACAAATCAACTTATCAAACTGGAAAAAGTGCCTATTTTATAAAATGGCCCAATTCATGTTTCTTCCCCCTTGGACTGTTTAAATAAGAGAGAAGCATTTCCCAAAAGAGGAGCTGTCATGGAAAATAAGCGTAAATCAGACTAAACATAAATACTGCAGCAGTGAAGCTGTTCTACACTCAGATCAGCCATGGCAAATGAGTAAACACATGTCTATTGGAATGGAAAAGAGTTTGTGTAAGAGTTAGTAGCGGGAATGGTTATGAGCAAAATCATCTCGAATGAATGAACGTCAGTGCTGTGATTCCCACTCAAGCCAATCCTGGCCAAGGTGGCATGACCCAAAGACTGGAAGTCATATCCACGCTGTCTCAAACTTGCTGCCCCTCCCTTATCCCACCTACCGTGTCCCTTTGCAGTCTTGGGTTGGCTTATGAGTGTAATTTTGATACAATTAACCATTTAGGTGAGGAGGATGCTGGCTAAACTGCAACACATGTAACCCATAGCCTGCAAACAAAGAACAAAAGGCCACTGCTGGAAGCTCTCCTTCCTCTACCTGACGACTCACCCATGGAGGACCTGGAGCAAAAAACGTGGTCTTAGGTAACAGTACAGCAATTCTCTATTTTACATAACAATCAATAACCACATACCATATGAGCTTAATGCAAAAGTGCACATTAAAATTAATGTGAAATACTGTAGAAATACTGTTTTCTTTATATTTCATTTTATAAAAATTACATATATATATATATACATACACACCCACACACAGTTTTATTGTAAAAAAATTTTTTTTTGCTTTAATGCAAAGTAATAATAAACATATTATTATTAATAATAATATAAATTTATGAAAGAAATGTATATAAATATTAATTTAGCTAATTCTTAATGTTTTTAATTATTTGTTTTGCATTTTGCTTCAATGCAATTATAATAAAAATAATATTAATAAATACATTCATAATAACTTTAATAACAATTTTTATAATTTAATACAAATAAATGTTTTAATAAAATACATTATTTTTAATAATAAAATAATAATAATATATATTTTTATTTGCTTTATTTAATAAACTGTATACAGTAAGTAATGTTCCAGTACCAGGGGGTAAAGTTTTCCTCTATTTATTCTTGGCATACTCATGCTATGGGAAATGACTAGCAAAGTATGTGAAGATTAATGCGCCCTACAGACTGAAATGTTCCTTTGCAAGTGTTATGGCACAATAAGCACAACAACAACACTGCCAAAAATGTCATGGGCACAAAATCTGTGATATGAAGACTTTTTTTTTTCACCAGCTCCTAATACAGCTTGTCTCACAAAGAAATGTTAGGAGGGGGAAAGCTAGGCATAATAATTTTATGGGGAATTTCTTTCCTTGCATGCACAAGGTCATCCCCTCCTTGCAGCTTGCGAAGACTCCCATGAGCACTTGCTTTCCATTTCCTTTGCACTGGCGTGTGTGTACGTTGGAAGGCACCTCTCATTCATGCCTGGTACTGTCACATCCTGTTGCTGCTCTAACAGCTGCTGTGAGAACCACCAAGATTATACATTGAAAAATGACACTGACCCTAAATGTACTTTTTCATTCTTTTTTTCCATCTTCCCTTCAAGTCTCTCTGCTGGAGTGAAGTGTTTTCACCTGAAGTTGCTGGTTGCCATCCAGGAAAGTGCCATGAGAACACGTGGGAGGGAAAAGAAAAGGTTGTTTTGGTGCTGGAATTAAATTACAGTAAATTCCAGAATGTTAGACTGAGAAGGGCCGAGATTGGCAGAAAAATTCCTCTCTGGAAATAGAGCAGAAAAAGGTGCAAATGAACATCACAGCTGGAGAGAAGTCTTTGATAGATGAATCATGCACTTAATTCACAAATGTAAGTGTATAAAACAATTGGTGGCTTAATGAACATTTGTGAGGCTTTGGAAAGGAAAACAGTTGTGTGTTTATAATGAAGATTTAATGTAATTGGTGGGCTCCTTTAACAAACAATGGATCTTTTCACTAGCGGAGAGGAGAGAGATTGCATGGACCATGTGAGATAGATCTGATGAACCTGGTAGCTGAATGAATAGAAAAGAAGAGGGAAACTCTTGAATGTTTGCTTAAGGCTATTAAAACAACCTGGTGAATATCATAGAGCAGAAGCTGAAATAGCTCATTCCCTTTCCGTCCACATGCCACACTTTACACACAACATACATCACTCACTGATAAAGAATGTGTTAGAAGAAAGATGTGACTCAGAGAGACTCGGGGAAAGAAAGCTTGGGACTGCCATTTAAAATTGCTTCCTTCCATCATGCACGGTAACTATTTGTCACAGAACTGTGTCTAAGCTGACCGAAAAGCTTTGATGCGAGGCAGAGAGAGGCGTCATACGTGCTGACAGACAAATATTGCCCATAATAGTGGAAAAGACAAAAGATGACTGAGGCCACACACACGGCCCATACAGCAAAAACATGTCTGGTTGAAGCTGATGGCAGACAGGGTGGCAAAAGAAATCTCCTACACAAGGGGAAAATAACCACACTGTGTGTGGAGAGATTATTTGTCTTTGTCTTTTTAGGCAGAATGTGAAGTATTTTAGATTAAGGTAAGGGTTCGTTGTTTTGTCTTAATCACAGCATGCTACTTTCGGAGAAGTTGCATCTCTGAATTCATGCCCTTTGCACCACATTTACATACTACATACAGTGGGGCAAAAACGTATTTAGTCAGCCACCAATTGTGCAAGTTTTCCCACTTAAAAAGATGAGAGAGGCCTGTAATTTTCATCATAGGTATACCTCAACTATGAGAGACAAAATGAGGAAAAAAATCCAGAAAATCACATTGTAGGATTTTTAAAGAATTAATTGGTAAATTCCTCGGTAAAATAAGTATTTGGTCACCTACAAACAAGCAAGATTTCTGGCTCTCACAGACCTGTAACTTCTTCTTTAAGAGGCTCCTCTGTCCTCCACTGGTTACCTGTATTAATGGCATCTGTTTGAACTCGTTATCAGTATAAAAGACACCTGTCCACAACCTCAAACAGTCACACTCCAAACTCCACCATGGCCAAGACCAAAGAGCTGTCAAAGGACACCAGAAACAAAATTGTAGACCTGCACCAGGCTGGGAAGACTGAATCTGCAATAGGTAAGCAGCTTAGTGTGAAGAAATCAACTGTGGGAGCAATTATTAAAAAATGGAAGACATACAAGACCACTGATAATCTCCCTCGATCTGGGGCTCCACACAAGATCTCACCCCGTGGGGTCAAAATGATCACAAGAACTGTGAGCAAAAATCCCAGAACCACACGGAGGGACCTAGTGAATGACCTGCAGAGAGCTGGGACCAAAGTAACAAAGGCTACCATCAGTAACACACTGCGCCGCCAGGGACTCAAATCCTGCAGTGCCAGACGTGTCCCCCTGCTTAAGCCAGTACATGTCCAGGCCCGTCTGAAGTTTGCTAGAGAGCATTTGGATGATCCAGAAGAGAATTGGGAGAATGTCATATGGTCAGATGAAACCAAAATAGAACTTTTTGGTAAAAACTCAACTTGAGGAGAAAGAATGCTGAGTTGCATCCAAAGAACACCATACCTACTGTGAAGCATGGGGGTGGAAACATCATGCTTTGGGGCTGTTTTTCTGCAAAGGGACCAGGACGACTGATCCGTGTAAACGAAAGAATGAATGGGGCCATATATCGTGAGATTTTGAGTGAAAACCTCCTTCCATCAGCAAGGGCACTGAAGATGAAACGTGGCTGGGTCTTCCAGCATGACAATGATCCCAAACACACCACCCGGGCAACGAAGGAGTGGCTTCGTAAGAAGCATTTCAAGGTCCTGGAGTGGCCTAGCCAGTCTCCAGATCTCAACCCCATAGAAAATCTTTGGAGGGAGTTGAAAATCCATGTTGCCCAGCGACAGCCCCAAAACATTACTGCTCTAGAGGAGATCTGCATGGAGGAATGGGTAAAAGGTGCAGTAGGAGATCTTGGAAAATGCTAACTTTAGCCTGATAGCACTGAAAGCGAACGTCCCACCCTCCCCTGCAATCGCTGTCCAAAACCACGCCCCCTTAACGCATTTACGCTCACAGACCAGAATACCAGAGACAACATTACTACAGTAGGCTACATCAGCGGTTCCCAATTCCAGCCCATGTTCTGAAGTGAAGTAAACTTCAACGGATTTCCCCCGCTCAGGGAGTAGGGAGCAATGAACACTGTGTAGGGATCATATAGATCGGAACACAGTTCATGCACGTAGCTTACTTCTAACGAGCTGGCGCAAGGACTGGATTAACCGCTGGGCTACATCATGTGTCATTCACTGGTGAGA